GGGCCAGTTCTAATACATTTGATCTCATGGACCGTATAACAAAGGGCCACATCTGACCCGCGAGCCGTCAGTTGGTMAGGTGTTATGTAAGCTGAATCTGAGGTGCGTTTCCTTCTTATTTAACTGCTCTGAGTAAATAAACTTCTCATTAACTAAAAGCCTTTGGCTCGTGGTGACGTCACAGCCACTGGTCTGAGTGGAGGTTTTGTCGCAGGTTTCAGTGGGAGGGGCTGGCCTGCAGGTGGGCGGGTCTCTGGTTGTGTGAGAGCCGGAGCTTCCTCTGGGTCACAGAGGACAGGAGCTTCTTCCTGCAGAGGAGGGAGGCTGGACTGAGAGCTTCTTTTCTTTTTAATCACGTTGGTTTTTGTGGAAAAATAAGAAGAGGAAAGATAATTACTCGCGTGGAAGTTCTCCCTGCACGCGCCAGCTGCTCATGTCCTGGTGTGTTTGGGTTTTTTTGCTCACGGACCTGTGTATGTGTGTGTGTGTGTCAGTGTGTGTTTGCACCCCTCCTCTCTGCTGCAAGGACGCATCCCGTTTCTTATTTTTCTTGCTGGCATCCTTGTCTTTAAGGTGGGATGAGTTTGGACAGACTGGCAGAGGCAGTGAGAGCCCCCCCGGCCCGGGACGTGACCGCCGCGTTTCATTCACAGCGCGCTCCGAGCACCAGAGACACTTTAGACAACTCAAGCAGCGAGTCTTCAGAGGCAGAGCTGGCAGGTACACAGTCCGAGCCCTTCTTCTGACTCTTCTTCACCTCAGCAGGCATGCGTCAGGTCGGCACAGCTGTGCGCAGAGAGGGCATTTTTGCAGCTTTCGCTCTCCGGTTATTGCGCAAAAAAAAAAAAAAAAAATCCAGTTTGTGTGTTTTTACTTTCCATTTCTGTGTGTTTATTGGACTGTCTGAACTAAGTACTCAGCAGGACCCCGGAGTCTGTCCCGGGGAAATGTGCAGAACAGGCTGGCCTGCGTTAAAACGAGCTCCAACATCCGGGTCCCGCCTCTTCTTCAAACTCAAACGGGTCTATTTCTGCTTCAGTTTTACAACTTTAATTTGTTTCTCTCCTTTAAAATAATACAATAAGTTGTTTCCTTGTGGTTTAAATTGCGCTCTGGTGTCAGTGGCCCTCTCATCTTTAAGAACAACAGATCACAGCTGGGAGATAAAAATCTTGTAAAAATGTCAGAATCAGATCTGAGTGTTTGAAAGAACCGATGCAACCAACGCGTATTTCTTTGTTTCTCCACGGGCCGTTTTATGAGCTAAACCTAACAGGAGTCCATCCCTCTATTAAAACTAAAATAAAACAAAGTATTTGCGTGTTTTTAACCAATATTTTGGATTCTTTTCTTCCTCCAGAAAAGGAGAGGAGCGCTGAGCTCAGGAGCGATGACGGCAGCGCGGACGACCCGAAGAAGAAGAAGCAGCGGCGGCAGCGGACTCACTTCACCAGCCAGCAGCTGCAGGAGCTGGAGGCCACCTTCCAGAGGAACCGCTACCCGGACATGAGCACAAGGGAGGAGATCGCCGTGTGGACCAACCTGACCGAGGCCAGAGTCCGGGTGAGTCCAGCAGGCTGCAGCCGCAGGAGGTCGTGCGTAAAAAGCGCGCTCCGCTCCAATTCAGCCGTGATTTAATAAACTTCTCATAAGTTATAACAATTAAAGGAACAAAGCACCAAAACTATATGAATTATCAAATTAATATTATTTGTGGTGACTCTAAATAAAATAGTTTGGAGGGAATTTGATGCACTTTAAAATTACACAATAAAACCTCGTGCGTAATGGTTCCTTTCTTTTTGACGCATTTTAAGAAAACTTAACAAAAAGTGTTTTTAACTCACGATCCCAGACTTTTRTAGTTGAAATATATTTCAGTATAAATTGTTGACATGTGAGCTCGAAATTCATCCGTATTTATCTGAGAGGTTTGCTTTTAATGTCAGATTTATCATCTTAAAATCTAAACCTTTCATCCATGACGCGCGGATAAAAACAGTAAATATTCCTGTTGATAAATGCGGGATGTTTTTATCATCATTTCCCTTTAAAAAGTCATTTTTAAATAATTGTTGCCGCTTTTTTTCACTCAGTAAATCTTCAGCTCATCAGCTGCTCTTTTAGTCAGAAAAAAAAGTTTAAAAATAAAATCCGCTGAACAGACGCAGTCGGTTTTTATTTCCAACTGGCGCCTGACTGCGCGTCCCCGCAAAACCCTCTGCGTCAAAATGATCACAAGTGTTCAGAGTTCAGAGAAAGAGACAAAAAAAAACTCTTTCAGAACAAAGTTTCACAATCCCGGAATGTAAAGGAGACGTGCTGCCTTCTTTTTTTATATTTTTTTTTAGAAAACTTATTGAGTTTTGATCTTTTAATTATCGACTTTCTTATCCTTTAAATAAACTGCAGGACTGCATCATAAACCTGTAAACTGTTTTTACAAATACTGATAATAATAAATCTGATGATGAGTTCATTCTCTTTATGTTTTCAGACGTGCAGATAAAAGTATCAGTTTTCTGTGCGTCACTAAGAACAGMTTTCACTTTAATATTTTAAAGCCAGGAAACAAAGCAGCGTTTCATCTGAGTTTATCTACATTAAATTATTGTTTTAAAAATGCATAAAAATAACAAAAATAGAAAAAAAATTAACGAAACTGAATTTTCCGAACAGAAAACAAAATGTTCATGAGCTGCAGCAGAACCTGCAGAGACCCAGAAGCTGGAAGAGAAAACTATCAGAACATATAAATAAATAAATAAATAAATAAATAAATAAGACCTAATTTTTGTTAAAATGATAGCTACTGACTGATTCAGTGACTGTTTTAGCCTCTCAAACCGCAAAAACCTGAGTTATGTTTTATAGAATAAAATAAATAAAGAAAATAAAATAACTGATTATTTGTTTTCTTCACCAAAACATTTTTCCATAACTCCTAAAAAACAACTCATCCTGAAGACATGAAGTCTCCAGTGAAGAAGTTTTGTATTTGTGCAACAAAAACTATAATTTGAGGTGTTTAGTTTTATTTTATAGGAAGTCTGTTATAAAAAAAAATGTTTTATAAAATAAAAAGACTTTTATAAAATAAAAAGTCTTTTATAAAATAAAAACTGTTATAAAATAAAACCCAGTCAGATTATTATGGAACCACGGGGTTTGTTTGGATCATAAAGGYATAAAGTCATAAAGTCTGTAAAATAAATCATAAATATATCACATTTATTGAGTAAAGTGTTKTGTTTAAACTGAACTGAAGTGAAAAACTGAACTTTTTGGTTTCTTCAGAAAAACCCAGTTTTCTGTTTATTTGTTGTTTTGTAACAAGGAGCTTTCTGATTGGCAGCAGGGAAACACCTGGTCGTATTAAAGCCCTCGTGTCTCTGCAGGTGTGGTTCAAGAACCGCCGGGCCAAGTGGAGGAAGCGCGAGCGGAACCAGCAGATGGACCTGTGTAAGAACAGCTACCTGCCCCAGTTCAGTGGTCTCATGCAGCCCTATGACGACATGTACCCGGCCTACACCTACAACAACTGGCCCAACAAAGGCCTGGCCCCCGCGCCGCTCTCCACCAAGAACTTCACCTTCTTCAACTCCATGAGCCCCCTGACGTCCCAGTCCATGTTCTCCGCGCCCAGCTCCATCTCCTCCATGAGCATGGCCTCCGGGATGGGCCACTCCGCGGTGCCGGGCATGGCGGCCCCGGGCCTCAACAACATCAGCAACCTGAACGGGATCGGCACGTCGGGCATCAACTCGGCCATGTCGACCCCCGCGTGTCCCTACGGCCCCCCCGGCTCCCCGTACAGCGTGTACCGGGACACGTGCAACTCCAGCCTGGCCACGCTAAGACTCAAGTCCAAACAGCACCCGACGTTCGGCTACAGCGGCCTGCAGAGCCCCGGGTCCAGCCTGAACGCCTGTCAGTACAACAGCTGACGGGCCGGACCCGGACCCGGGGGGGAGGGGCATCATTGCACACCTGAAACAGACTCACCTGGATTAGCTGCATCAGCCCCACCCATAAAAAATAACAATAAATAAATAAATAAAAAAGGATGACGCGGGTTCCATGTTTACTGATGAACTTACAGCAGTTAAAGGTCCAGGACTGATGGATTTGTTCAATAATGAAGACGTGTTACATTGCTGCATTGTACATAATTAATGTAAATATATATACAGGTCTAACATATGAAACAAACAAACAAACAAACAAAGGGACTTCTTTCTTTCCTGTTTAATGTCCTTCATTCTGAAGACTGGGACCAAAAACAACCAGTTCATTAAGAACCAACCAGAGGAAAAACCAAGAAACTTGACTCATTGTACATATTTTATACTGCTTCTGTGTACTTTTACTTTCCTCAGAGCTGTTTCACATTATTTTCATTTAGTTTGCTTTAAAAAACGCGCATGTTTAACTTGACTATAACTGTATAAAAGCTGGTTCAGTCCGAGTGTGTTTATTGTAACATGTTTGTTTGAATAAATTCCAGGAAAAGAGGTTTTTATTTCAACATGTTTTAGAAAAGTTTGTTAAAAAATCGTTGCWCCTTTACGCATTCAGTTTAAAATAGAAATAATTTTATTTTGTTGCTCAGTTATGTGGATTAATTACCTGCTTTTACGCACAACGTTTGGAACATTTTTCCTGCGTAAAATGGACCATTTGTTTTATCCTGCAGCTCACTGGATCAAATTCTCAGACTCGTTGTCTGGAAGCGTTTATCATGCATGTTAAAAGACACAAAGATTGTTTTATAAAAGCCAAAGTAGCTCTAAAGTCGGTTGAAATGTTCCCAAAAGACGAAACTTGAAGACATTTTGTGCACATTTTGTAATAAAACCACGCGCAGAATGCTCTGATTGTGAAGCGGCATGACGCATTCACTTACAGTTTTTTTTTTAATTAAAGTCCAAACATGACGCATCAAGGTTCTGTTTAAAACTGTAAAATGATCCAACCTGTTTAAAGGAATCACAGGAAAATAAAAATGAATTCTGGAGACTTTTCTCATATTTAAAGACAGAAAATTTCCTGCCCTCACAGCTCCAACAGGCGCGTTTATTTTTTTATTTCTTTATTTATTCAGTCACCATATCAGGTTTTCTGACACCTCCTATCTATATTACTGCCCATTACACTGATATTAGCCCCTGCAGTGATGATTGTGGCTTTAACTGATAGGAAGAGGCTCTGCGCTTTAATCCAACCTGAAAATAATGATCCGCGTCAAATAATTAAACTTTTATCAGTCCGGATGTCCTCTTTTATTCTGATATAACATTTATTTTATTATAGGGTTTTTAATTAGGACAAATACATATTTATATCCATAACAGGACTGTGGTTATATACAATAAAATATAATTTAAATTTGATTGTTGCCATTATTCTTAAATATATAATTTATCATAAATGGATACGATTTTAAAAATATAATTAAAGCTGTTTTTATATTTTTGTTTTAGACTTTTTTATCACATTTTGTTTGAATTTGATTAGGAAGCTCTTTGTTAATTAAAACAAATTATTCTATTTAATAACTTGGCTGGAAAAAGTTTTCCTGCTCATAAACTGACTTTATGAAGTTACAGTTGACGTTTTTCATGAAGTTTTTTTGTAGTTTTTTTTAAAGGACACAAACTTTTAATTGTGTGTTTTATTCTCACGCGGTCAGTTTTCCTGAAGCATCAACTTGTCCAAAGGCTTTTTAAAAACTCTCATATTRTTATTATTATTAGTGTCTCTAACTGCATCTTTACATGATGTGTAAAAGATAAAAGGAACATGGCGCAGAGCCACAGCTTTTATTTARCAGAAACAAAACTTTTTCTGTAACTTTTTTATTCAACACAAGTYACAACAGCAGCAGCGCGCGGCTGCAAATTCTTTTCTTGGGCGCGCCCTCCTCTTTACTTTACTTTCGTGCGCGCACGAC